ATTCATAGTAAGAAGTTTCAAGTTTAGATCTTCACACTTTAACACAGATTTTTATTTTTTTTTTATTTTTTTTTCTTTTTTTTCTTTTTTTTTTGTGTCAAGTTCCTTTTGGCTTTCTAAGTTACCTATGTGATGAGCTTTCTGTCAATGACTCCCAACTAGCTAGCTTTAGGGCATTAGGTAAAGAGACACCCCTAAGAACATACTTACTCAAGAAATAAAGGCCACGAAACATTTGACTTCTCTTTTTTTTTTTTCTTTTTAAGCCATACAACACATTTTTTCCAAAGCTATCACTTGTCTTTTGACATGAAAACTAACATTTGTCATAAAAGTATATGGTTACTCAACAAGTCATATACTTAGAATGCTTTGCATACTCCTATTTCAATTCACCGTTTGACGTGAAAGCTGACATGGATCTCATGCCTAACCCTCATTTACCAAGCAACTACAAACATTGGAGTAGAAATTATCAAACTCTTTCATGTGTTGGCTTCTTTTTCTTCTTCTTTTCTTTCCTTTTTTTTTTTCCTTCTTTGTGTGCTTTTTAGGTGCTACTAAGTCTTTCTTCTAAACTTTTCACTATAAACTTGTGCTCAAGTGAAATATACTACTCATGAACTCAAACTTCATCACAATGGTGTGATTTTTTAGATTTTGTATCTCCTCTAAAATTCAAAGATTTTAAAGGTTTATAGATTTCCAACTCAAGAATATTCAATTCCTTGACACTAATTGGACCAACTCCTAAAAAAAAATTTACCCTAATTGCTAAAAAAAAAAAGAAAAAAAGCATGTGATGCAAATATGCATCTAATGTAAGAATGGACACCTAAAAGCTATTCCCTCCCCCAAACTTAAATCAAACATTGTCTTCAATGTAAAATAAAAGTAAAAGAAAAGAGAAACTTCCCAGGTTTTGCACTTGAAGATTTGAATTTGAGTTCTGAAGTTGAATTGTCTTCAATTAGAGAACATTTCTAGCATGTAAATTTTCATAAATTTGTCCCCCAAACTTGTTTAATGACTTGGCCAAAATTTAAGAATAATAGTTTATAAGCTAGAATATGCAACTAAGCAAACCAAATTCAACCCCAAATTTGAAGAGACAACAAAACATAATAATTGAGGTCCACCCTTATTATTATTATTATTTTTCTTTTACAAATGTATGAAACATGCATGACCCAACAAATTAGAATTCCCTCATTACTAAGCCTGCTTGAAAACCACAAATAAGTTGCAAACTTGATAAGCAATTCGAACTTTCTTTCCTAAGAATATCATTGGCATCAATATGGAAAGGGAACTTTGATTTTCCATTTCCTTTTCAATGAATAGTTAGCATGTAACACCCCATATACCTTAGTGAATAATTTAAAAATTAGTGTCCTTTAGTTTATAGTTTTAGGGACTAAATTGATTGGATTTAAAGTTTGGGGGTTTTAAGTAAAACTTAGTAGAAGTTGAATGACCATAACTCAATTATCCCAATTTTTCTTAACACATGGCATTGTCCCAACCAAGTTTTTTTTCTTGTCGGTGGAAGCTTGGATAAGCCTCCAGAAGGCTCCCAAAAGCCCCATTTTGTTTTCCTATGCCTTCCTCTTCCACCTACATCCTTTTCTTCCTTCTTTCTCCAACCAAGGTTAAGGTGCTTTTGTTAGGTAAGTATAAGTTTTAGTTATGAATTTTGGATTAGAGTTTTGGGTAGTTTAAATTGGTGAGATTTGACTTTAATCCTTTGATTTATAAGATTTTTGGGTATTAAACTTTTATTAGACATATCCTTAATTTTGGGGTTTATATGGGAAAGATAGTGAGTTAGTCCTTTTTATTGTTTGATTTGGATGTGAACTTTTGTTGCAAGAATTATAAGTAAATTGTATTATTTACGAATTATTGTTCACGATTACTGTTCATGATTACTGTTCACAGTCACTGTTCATGATTACTATTCATGATTACTGTTTATGATTACTGTTTACACAACATGCTTTCATCTCTTTCAATAGGAAGTTCTAATATTATTTTGGACATATTATGAATTTGTTTGGCATGCGCATGTGTTTGTGGCTATGGAGTAAGTGGACCTAAGCTTAAACCTTCGGGTATTTAGTGGACCCTTCGAGGTATTTAGTGGACCTCTGTGCAGTAGGGTTAGTACCGTGATTAGCTCCGGTACAGTGTTGCTAGCACACCTTAGTAGACTCCATAGCATTGTGTGATTTTCGATTTTATGCATTGCGCTTGTGACATCGTATTTGTGAGCATATGATTTTAGTTTATTAATTCAATTTAAATGTCATTGATTATTCCTTGACGTTTGTGCTTATGATTTGAGATATTAAGTTATTATTTAAATAGTGAGAATTATAATATTATGTGATTTGATTCCGTTGTGTCTTATGCTCTTTGTGTGGATAGGTCTAAAGGTCTTAGGACCCAAGTTTATAGCCTAAACTTATTACTTACTGGGCTGTGAGCTCATAAAATTCTCCCCCCCATTTCAGATCAGTAGATCAAGGTAGCAGCCTCTTGGTTTAGGAGCTGTTGGCATGGGACTCGCATGCTCGTTGTATGTACCAACTAGGGCCTCGTGTTTTCGATGGGGAGGCAGATCGATGTCTTACCAAAACCATGACTCAGCTTTTGTTTTTTTGAAAAGCTTGAAGAAGAATTTGCCTCGTATAATTTTTGTGTAAATTACCTTTGTGTATAAAATCTTTAAATTAATTATAAATGAGCTTAAGTTAGTTTCTCTTATAACTTTGAATATTTTGGCATTTTCCAATATATATATGATATTCTTTTTATTAAATTGATTTTTTGAATGTAGGGTTTCTTTTGAAGAAATATTTGATATCATAAGTGTTTTTACTTTCGCTGCAATTCTTTACTATAAATTTTGTTTCTGAACTCTTTTAGGACTAAGAGTGCCTAGGGAGGTGTGTTATATAGCATACATCCCAATAATGTGTAGTACGATATTTAACCCAATCTTCTTCAATTTCATGTCAAAAACAATGACAAGAACAAGCAAGGCATGACAATTAACACACCATCATAAAATTAGAAATTTGCCACTAGATTTTAGTAGTAGGGAGTTTCCTTTTTATTTTAAATCAACAACAGTAGAAGAAAAATCGAGCAACAACATATAGATATTGAACAGCAAAAAATTTTCAACCCCTAAACTTTAGCTATCATCCTTTTCAATGTATTATAAGTAAAGCAAAAAAGAAACTTCCTTATATATGAAATTAAAAATTTGAAGTTGAAACTTGAGTTGAAGTGCCTCTAATCTTAGTGAAGTTTGAACTTTCTTCATACTTATGCATTAACTTGGGTCATGTAGGAAAACAAATTAAATAATGATATCTACACTATCAAAATAAAAGCAATAAAATAAAATAAAATAAAATAAAATTTAATGCTTGGGTTACCTCCCAAGAAGTGTTTATTTATAGTCAATAGCTTGACTATTATTGGATGATCAAGTTGGATTGTGTAACTCAATGGCTAGAACATGCTTGTTGTATCCACCATTTATGTAGAGTTTCAACAATTGACCATTCACTTTAAATGTGCCCTTTATGTCATGAGATACTTCTACCACACTATAAGGAAGAATTCTTGTCACCATGAAAGGACTTGACCATCTGGATCTTAATTTCCTTGGAAAAAATCTAAGCTGAAAGTTATAAAGCAATGCTTTTATCACCAACTACAAACTCATGCTTCAAAATGTGTTTGTCTTGTCACTTTTTAGTGCGTTCTTTGTAAATTTTGGCATTCTTATAACCTTCATGGCAAAACTCATCCATTTCATTCAATTGTAAAAGTCTTGTTTCACTTGTAGCTTGCATCTCAAAATTTAAAAATTTCATAACCAGTATGCTTTATGCTCAAGTTCAACAGGTAAATGACATGCTTTTCCAAATACTACCCTATATGGAGATAGACCAATAGGAGTTTTAAAAACTATTCTATATGCCCAAAGCGCATCATCAAGTTTCAACGACCAATCCTTTCTAGAGGAATTAATAGTCTTTTCTAAAACCCTTTTCAATTATCTATTTGAAACCTCAACTTGGCCACTAGTCTATGGATGATATGGGGTTGTAACTTTACGAGTTACTCCATACTTAAAAGAGCCTTACATTGTTTATTACAAAAATGTTTCTCCTCATCACTAATGATTGCCCTAAGAGTGCCAAACCTAGTGAAAATATTTTTCTTCAAGAACTTAACAACTAGCCTAGCATTATTAGTGGGTAAAGCTACAACCTCTACCCATTTAGGGCTAAATTCAATAAATAGTCTATTAACTATGTGGTTTATTTTAGTTTAATTTATAAACAATTTTTTCTTTTAAAATCATCTATAAACTATCAATTTTGTTTCAAAATGGTCTACTTGACAAACATTCCATTAACTAGACTAACGAAATTCCCCTAAACTTTTGAAAAATGTTAAATATAGTACATATATTTTTATTTTTTACAACCTTTTGTTTTTGAAATTCAAATTTTTTGTCAAATGTAATAATTAACTAAGCAAAAATTTCAATTTACATTAATTAAGATTCTAATTTTAATTTACAATAATCAATATTATAATTTAAATTTTATTATTTCTAAAAAAATTTAGTTTATTATTAAATATTA